TGCAATAATAAATCATCCCAATATGAAAAGGAGAATTTGCAGAATGGAAAAACTAAAATTGACCAAAAAATTCCAAAACAAATTAGATATGGGTGTTACTGCTATCATAACATGTATGTCTGAGCTCTTTAAGTCACAGTTTAAGTCATATGAGACAGAAAAACACTGAGTGGAGAAACTGGTTTCAGAGTATTTGCATTTAATCTCTTGTTATTGAATTGAAGGTGGGACCGTTTTGTAATAGGATGATCCTGAAATGATTCCCAGTGTTCAGTGCTTTATGACACACATCCAAATGCATATTTCAACACAACACAGATTAACAGCTGAAAAGACAAAGGCAGAGATGTAAGAGCGCTTACATTCAGCACCACATTCATGAGCTCGGTGTGGAAAATCTCCAGGTCAAAAAGCGACGAGTCACTCTGCCATCTCAAAGTAAGAGTCTGTGCAGGTAAATCAGGATTTAAGGTTAAACCACGAGGTACAGGAGGTTCACCCAGACCTGTAACATTACAAAGAGAGAGGAGACATGACCAAAGGATTCATTTAATTTGTTAAATCCTGGCATATACTTGTAATGAATTAAGTAAGCCGTACAGTGTGCAAAATTCTATCAATTATGATGGCTGGTGGTCAGATGGTGCAAGGTTTCAGAGGAACTAACAAGAAGTTTGAAGAGAGTTTGATGAATAGCTCCTTTCAGTGCATGCACTACAGTTCTTACTATTATTAGTTATTATAAAACAGTTAATTGTAATATTTCATAATATTACTGCTATTGCTGTATTTTTGATTTTAAAAAAAAAACTCACCGACCCCACACTTTTGAATGGAATAAAGTGTATTAATTTACATTTAATTGTGGATGACTACCACTAAATTAAACCAGAGTTACGACACGTTTCATTAATGTCACATAATCCAAGTTAAACCTGGAGTGAGAATTCTCAAAAACGTCTTGATCAAACTTGATGACACTCACCGTTCTGTGTGAGGGAGCGTTTGACCCCGAGGCTCAGCAACAGAGCCAGAGTCACCCAGCCCTCCATACTGACCGATCCAGAACCGCTTACAGAAAGAGTCAAATACAACTCCTAGACCTACAACAAAACACAAAAACTATTAAAAAGATGGAAATTAAAGATGGAAATCAGATGTATGTCAATTCTTATATTTGTAAAAAAATATCTCATCAGGAGAGTTAAATATAATCTGGAAACAAAAATCAATAATACCTTGCAATTGTGATACTGAATTTGCAAATACCGATGAAACTTATTTTTTCTCAGTTTCTTTTCATCACTAAACATTTTTAAAATGGCACAAACGTTTAGCATAAATCTCACAAAAATATGTTGTGGTCCAATTTCACTCCAAAACCCAAAGAAATTTAAAGGGGTCATATGATGCGATTTCATTTTTTCCTTTCTCTTTGGAGTGTTACAAGCTCTTGGTGCATAAAGAAGATCTGTAAAGTTGCAACGACTAAAGTCTCAAATCCAAAGAGATATTCTTTATAAAAGTTAAGAGTCAGCCACACCCTCCTAAAACGGCTCGTTCGAACATGCCCCCATATATCTACCTCACTATGTGGGAAGATTTGCATAACGCCGCCCAAATGTTCACGCAAAGAAAGAAGGCGTAACTTTTAGTCTCACTGTAGTATTGTTGCCGCTGCCACGCGTTTCAAAAAGGCGGGGCATAGAGGAGAAACAATAATGTACAGTATGTGGAAAATAATGTGGTTTTTTTACTTTAAACCGCATAAACACATTTCATTACACCAAATACACAAAATAATGTTCTTTTTAGCAGCATCATATGACCCCTTTAAATAGAAAATTACTGCATAAAGATAACAAAGCCTGTTTTTAGGACCATTAACACATTTTCCCTTCCAAATTCTCTACCATAATCCATCTGAACATTCATATTATTTTTAGTCTTAAATTTAAATATTTTTTCCTTATCCTCTAGATTTACCTTAAAGGGTTAGTTCACCCAAATATGAAAATTCTGTCATTAATTAATCTCCCTCATGTCGTTCCAAACCCGTAAAAGCTTCGTTCATCTTCAGAACACAAGTTAAGATATTTTTGATGAAATCCGAGAGCTTTCTGACCCTAAGTGACAGCAATGCAACTCAAACGTTCAGGGCCCAGAAGTAGTAGTAAGGCCTTAAAAATAAGGATACCAAAAAAAAAAAAGTTTGTTAAAATCTAAAAGGATATTAAGTTGACCTTAAATCAATTTTTGAACTGTCACTATTGGCATATATGCAACAAAGATTAAGTCAACATATTTTACTAAAAGGCCTACCAATCTCTGTATAAAATCTCTGTGATGCAGCCATCCTTCTAAAGTCATTTTTATCTTCAATCTCAAGTGAGATTGTCATTTTGAACCCCTTCTACAAAACAGTAGATTACATTTACATTAGAGACATTTAATATTTAGAATTTTATCACTATTTATGTTTGTCTTTCTTCCGAGAAAATTAAAAAAAAAAAAATTTAAATCAATCATTTGAACTGGGGAAGTTTCTGCAATTTGGTTGATCTGACACGCAAAGACTTGCTTGCCTGATCGTAAACCTTTTTTCCCAGTAAACCTTTTTGACCGGCCAGTGATCGGAATTGGACGATTTTTCGCATGACCGGCCTGGATTGGTGACCGGCCGGTCAGTCTCACCACGTCTTGCCGATTCCGAGCTGATCCTTTTATTGCCAGCGGCGCCGGCAATGACATCACAGCCATGCGCACACTCACAGTCGCGTGTAAACATGTCGTTTCGCGTGAGAATGATTCTAATTTTAATTGCATTCAGTGTAAACGGCGACTGATAATGTATTTATGTGTGCCAGATGAGGCTTGCACAGCCTGAGCGAGTGTGTGAGAGAGACAGCACACACAAAGTAACTCACAGAAATTTATAGATGCATACTGCGGTAGAAAAAAAAAAAAAGATATTTACAAAATTTGATTTAGGTTAGCAACATTATACGGCCATGTTTCCCCGAATATCAATATCAACACGATTGCAGTGTGACACTGATTGATTTTTTTATACAATAGTATTTCAATAAACAAGAAGTTAAAATTAAGTGACTTAAGATTTTAGACAAAATATTGACTGTTTTTGCTCAATTTCGCATGACGAAAATATTTCCGATCAAAGCCACAGCAGAACTGTTGTGTGTCTCCGAGCAACACACAGCAGTGTTTCGTTACTGAATGAATTCACGTTTTTTAACTAATCGAGTGACTCAATGATTGGCCCATTCATAAGGACAGTCACTTGCCTCGTTTCTGAATGAATCAGCCGTTTGAATGAATCGCTTGAAAGAATTAATAAATGACTCACTCATTAAAACAGACATTTGTCGCCACCTACTGGTGGTTTAGTCGTATTTAAAAGTATCACTGCATTTTTTCAACATTTATTTGTATGTTTAAAAAAATATGTAAAACATTAATCTTATAAAATGTATGCATTTGAAATTTTGCAGTGTAAATGCATTTATGGCACCTCAGCTTCATCAAACTGTCTGTGTAAATGCATCTAATGCCACTTCAGAGACAGCTTCCGTTTCCTCAGCAGTGGAAAGATAGAGTTTGTTAATGCTAATTTCATTTGAATGGTAACAACTCTACAGTTTCTTATTATTCTAACTGAATTAATTGAAACAAAGTAATAATTTGATGTGAAAGATGACACATTTAATAAGGTTAGGGGGAAAAAATTACCATTTATAAACATAGTGGCAATACAAAAAATAAATAAAAATAGTTACATACAGCAACTCATTTTAAGTTAACTATTTCTTCCTCTTTCCAGTCACAGAGCACTTTATTTTGGGAGTTAAGTGACAGAAAATCTGTAAACTTAGTCCAGATTGGGGGAATTGTAATGTTTAATAATTTCTTTTATTATGTAAATAATTTGTGCATTGAAATTTGCATAGATTTTTGTTTGTATACACTGTCAATTATAGTTCTTAGAAAGAAAATCAGAATCGACAAAAATCGGTATCGGCAGGTCACACTTCCAAAAAATCGGAAATCGGAATCGGCCAAGAAAATTGCAATCGGTGCATCTCTAGTAATGTCTCTTTTTCTACAGCCTTTACACAATTCTCCCACTTGTTCACTTTCTCTCCTCCCGGTCATGAGCGTAAATGTCCCTACAAAATGGTCTTTTAGGTGTTGATTTATAAACCGTTAATATCACACAATTATCAACAGTACTTCTTACAAATCTCTTACTGCACCTTACCGCTACACCTGGTCTCCTATTATTCCCTGAAAAACCGGAATTTCCAGTCCTCACCTGTTTTTTCAACCATAAATCAAGACAAAAACACCTAACTGAGATTTCTACCATGACATGCTCTTAGATCAACTGCAAAATGTAACTGGTATTCCGGGACAGGCATTAAGATGACAGTGTTTCCCACACATAGGCTTTAGTTGGGCAGGCCGGGCCGCACAGGTATATTAACGGCCACCCAAGTATATTTGGAGAAACATTTTTGCTTTTATTTTTATCCGCCCGAAATAATGAAACCATCCGCGATAGATTAACTAGTGGAAAATCTCCCCTCCGCCTACACGTTTCGTATCTGCTCGTTCTGTGCGCGCGAGAACGGTTTCAGACTGCTTCAAAGTGATTCTCAATCAATGAATAGCGCACATTTATGCCAAGCGATTGCTTATGAACAAGCAAGCTTATGAGTTGATGAATTATGACAATGTTTACTTTATGACCTTTATATAATATGTTTTAGACTGTTGTAAGAATGCATATTTTAATTTCTCATCTGAAGGATCAGCCCGCAATAGTATAGACATTTCAAAATAAGAGTCCCAGTGTATTTCGGGTTTGTTTTTAATTAAGTCACACGTTAAGTTTTTTCCTTTTTTGGGGGGTGGATTATTGATATTGTGGTTACACAATAAATTGTATTTTATTTCATTTCCATTTAACTCATAGTAAACTACTGTAATTTCTGGCTGGGATGCTTCCCCACAGGAAAGAACATTATTTGACATTATTCAATATATAGATTTTACTAGTATCAGTAAAATCTGTGTCCCGTTCACTGAGAGAGAAACTATATGACAAAGCAAGGAGAACTCTTACCATTTAAATGCTGTAATGTACAATGCATGATATGAGTATGTAATTAAATGTAATAGTAGCCTATGTAATTAAAATTAATTTCAATAAATAAAAAGTTAAAAATCACACATTATTTGTAATTTGTCACATGTGTACCATTTTTGTGCCATGGGTATAGAGGATTTTTCCACCCGACTACCACTGCAACTATATTTCAAACCTGTGGGAAGCACTGGGTGATTTATATCCTGTCCCGTCTAATGTCACAATTTTGTTTAAACAGAGAATTATGTTAAGTTAACGCCAGTAAAGTATGGAGTACTACAAGGATCTGTCTTAGGCCCTCTTCTATTTTCAATATACATTCATTGCATCCCCTTGAAAATATTATTAGTAAAAATGGTATTAGTTAGCATTGTTATGCAGAGGATATTTAGTTGTATAGGCTATTTAATTAAGACCAGATTAAATTTCTGAATTATTTCAGTTAACTGAACGTGTTAAAGATATAAATGATTAGGTGACAATTGTTTTCAATTAAATTTGGATAAGACAGAGATATTACTTATTGGACCAAAAACCTGTACACAGAAGCTCTTAGAATACAATCTGCAACTAGAAATATGTACTGTTACTTCTTCCTCTACAGTCAAAGACTGGAGTGTTTATCATTCAACAACTTGATTTTTGAAAATCATGAATTTACATGTTACAAAACAGCCTTCTTCCATCTTAGTAACCTCAAGCTACGGAACGTTACCGGTTTCTGATGCAGAGAAGCTAGTTCATGCATTCATGACCTTTAGACTGGATTATAGTAATGCACTACTAGATGATGGCTATCCTGCTTTCTCAATACACAAGCTACAGTTAGTCCAAAATGCAGAATGAAAATATGGTCAAGAAAATATGATCATGTCACCTCAATTTTTTCATCTCTACATTGGCTACCTATTAATATTCCTCTGGTCCTAGAGATTTTTAGATGAATGCCTAAACTTTTTGGGTCAGGTAGAATCTGTGATTTGGGTATGTAGAAACATTAATTATCTGTGAAGCGGTTTTAAATATGTATTGTGAAACGTGCTATACAAATAAGTACGAATCTAATTTAATTTTAGGAGTGAAAATCTGATCAAACAAGCCCTTTTTTGTGTAGATATGTTTTCAGGTGGTAGCATGCCAGTTATCTGATCAATCAAAATAACAAGGGATGCACGATATTGGATTTTTGCCGATATCCGATATGCCGATAATTTTCAGCTCATTTTGGCCGATAGCCGATACCGATATATAATTATTTTTAATTTTGGTTAGTTTTTAACAGGAACTTATTTGTTAGGATTAAATAAACAATAATAAAGTTATTTTATAATGACAGTACATTGAATATTTGAAAATAACTATAAATAAACTTTTAATCACTGCAATTTTTTTCAGAAAGATGCAGTGGTAACCTTAACATTTTATTTTATGATAACATTTGTAAATGGTCTAAAGCAAAAGAGTTGTAAAAATTATGAAAATATTTTAGAGCTCATAATTTGTTTAAACCTATATAACATATTACACATTAATGAATAAATCAGTAGGTATATATACAATTATTTAACTTAAGTGTCATGTTTGTGATTCTTTTTGTTCATGTAAGCTATAGCTTCATAAATCAAATGGCCTTTAAATCAAAACATACTCATGAATTTATGGCATCAATTACTGCTTTATTTAATCAGAAACAGTCTAAATATTATTTGTGTATTTTGCTTTCATTTTATTAGAAGTTGGCCAACAGCGCCCCCTACGGAATTAAAACTTCTTACTGAGTGGGCATTAGGACCCGGGGTAGGCTGCCGCTGCACGTGCTGTTACTGTTTACTCTATCATACACCGAACGCTTCATTCCGTACGTGCATTCTCAGTTTAAATGCAGCGATCCAAAGCAGTGAATGCAATCACCATTTAGGAAAACTTTTGCTTCAAGAATGAGCCACAATGCTGACGTGATCTAAATGCAGTATTGACGTGATCTAATCGCTAGCACACCCTGAGCACATGTGAGTTAATGTATTCCTCTCATCGGCAAGACATATCGGCATAATTTTACATATCGGGCCGATGCCGATATTTACATTTAAAGCCATTATCAGCCGATTTCGATATTGGTCCGATAATATCGTGCATCCCTAAAAATAACACAGAGGACTGAGGTAGAGAATACGTGGGACGATGTTGGTTCGCATCATGAGCATCTTATCAGTGCAGGACATTCCAAAGATGAATTCACAAGGGCACAAATATAGAATACATAACATTCCTATAAAAAAAGATTAAATTAGCACAAAGCTGCAGCTCCTACTTCTGATTCAAGGCCGTAAAAAGAAAAACACATGAAAACAGAAACTAAATAACTAGATTTTTTTTGTTTTTACACTTTTGCAAAAATGCTAGACATTGTGGTTGGCAGGGCTTTGAGCACTGTATTTGCGCATTCAAGGTCTAAGGTCTTCTGAATGGCTGTTAGCGAATTTCTATGTGGTTTCTAGGAAGTTACTTACTGGTTTCAATACAGCACGTTTGAGGAAACTAGTTACACACCAAAGTTTAATACATATCAGGTTTTAGCAAGGACCGCTGACTACCAATCTAACAGAATCAGCAATCCACACCAGTCAAGGTATTTTTTTAGACAAAAATAAGCTAAATGGATTATGAACAGGCACCGGGTGAAGTTGCAGCTCATATGGGAACAATAACTTTACAAAAAAGCAAAAACAGTGAAGAACTCAAGGTGAATCGAAGCAGCAAATTAAATGGTCATAATAAAAATATTATTCAACCATCTACATCAACAATTCTGTTAATTACAATAAAGCTGAAATAAAATTAAACTTGAATATTGGATGAAAAACAAAATGAAACTCAACGAAAGCTAGAAATGAAATTAGTTTAAGATTAATTTTACTAACTGGAAATACATAAAACTAAAATAAAAATTAATTAAATATAGGCTACATAATATTTAAAAATTAAACAATACCAAATAAAAATAACTAAAGTACAAAACTAGAAAGCTAGAAACAGAAATTAGTTTAAGATGAATTTTACTAACTGGAAATACATAAAACTAAAATAAAAATTAATTAAATATAGGCTACATAATATTTAAAAATTAAACAATACCAAATAAAAATAACTAAAGTACAAAACTAAATTATTAAAATTATAATAAAGACTGAAATGATAAAAATTAAAGCTAAATCAAAATATACTTGGTTATATAGGCTTACTGCATTTTTTTCTGAGCTATGAACAGACACAAATGCCTTTCTTTCCCACCCAGCACATTTACACATGCTGAGAACAATGACAATCTGTCCAGAACAGCGCGCTGTAATGGCTTCCTTCCTCCTATATCGCACAAACCTACACAACTGAATGAGTCTCACTGATTCATAATAAGACACTTAAACATGAAAAAAAAAACATCTTGCCACTGACCAGTATTGTTATTGTTAATCAAAACTATTAAAAAATGTTTTTATTAACTGAAATACATCTGAAATATAACAAAATATAAATATTAGAAAAAAGCTTTAATAAAATTACATTACAAATTATGGTTAAAAAATATTTTTCACTGAAATAAAGTAGGGTTAATTTATTAAAGCACTAAAATTATTAAAACAAAAACTGAAATAAAAATGAAGCTAAATAGGAATACTTAAAAATAATAATAAAAATGACAAATGTGCATAACAAAATTACTAAAACTAAAATAAAAACTGAACATCTAAAAACAAATGCTAATTCTAAATATTTATAAACACTAATACTAATAGTAATAATAGTATATAAATAATACTATAACAACACTAAGGATGACCAAAATTCTGAGGGTCACCTTATGTGCTAAAAAAACCCACTCAATTCTTTGTGAAGCAGAGACTCAACAGATCTCAGACATCATATTACTACAGGGACAGTCCACCAGAAAATGAAATCCTGTCATCATTTAGCATGTCTCTCCAAAAATGTAAGACACCGAGATGTTCGGCATAAATGACAGTTTCAGTCACCATTCGCTTTCCACTTTCAAGAAATACAAGTAAACGGAACAACAACAACAACAACAACAACAACAACAACAACAACAACAACAACAACAACAACAACAACAACAACAACAACAACAACAACAACAACAACAACAACAACAACAACAACAACAACAACAACAACAACAACAACAACAACAACAACAACAACAACAACAACAACAACAACAACAACAACAACAACAACAACAACAACAACAACAACAACAACAACAACAACAACAACAACAACAACAACAACAACAACAACAACAACAACAACAACAACAACAACAACAACAACAACAACAACAACAACAACAACAACAACAACAACAACAACGGAACGTATACAAATATGTACAGCTAACGTTACACATATATTAGAGTTACAGATATACGCACGAAGAATAAAAAAACAGCACATTTAAACGGATGAATTTCCTTTAATTCACCTCATTTGATTAGAAAAGTAAGAAACAGTAACATTCAAATGTCTCAAACGCCATGGCGTTGTCCAGTATTACCACAATTACTCCAAGTTAACTAATCTTATAATATAAGATAAGATAAAAGATTTTCGATATATTCATAAAACACAAACACGAACATCACGAGTCGATACAGACAAACAGGAGACTTTCTGGCGTTAAAAAACAAACATGCTCCCAAACTGTTACCTTGATGTTTTAGTAGTCTTATGTCTTCGAAGTGACCCGATTATATCCAGTAAATGTTTGGTTTATTAGCAGCACATGGCCTTCTTGTTCCAGACGGGTGTCTAAAACTGAGGGAACCGAACCGGATTCCCAGAATCGCTCCCGAGTCCCGAACTAGATCTTATCGTCCTACTAACCGTTCATTATGCGACAAACCCTCGCCTTCCTCCAGGGGGCGCTTGTCGGCTCAAGGCCGCATCCTCCGCGTTCAAATCTCAGCGTGTTTTGGTCTTATTAAAGACCTTTATGCTAGCGAATATAATCGTTTAAATCTATTAATCCCACTCGACACGTAAATGGAAATTCGCCTAGGTAATCCTCGTGTAATTATGAAACACAACGCCGCTCCCGCTAATCACAAGCAACTGTGATTAGTTCAGCTCGACCAGCGCTGAGAAAAGTAACAGGTACCACGTGACAAGGTTATCAGCGTGATTCTTCATGTATGTAATTTATACATGAATAATGATACTGGGAAACTTTAATAGCCACTGAATTGAAAATACACAGTGAAGAGGTAAAACTGGAGAATTATATTAAGCCCTATTTATACCTGACCAATCAGAAGCGACTTTCTGTCCGCTAAGCCACGCCCACGTGGCCCGCTTTTTAGTAGTGATGCAGTTGCACCCGTGTCTTATTCTAGGGATTTATTCAACAGGGCTGCTGGACGGAGGGGGGATTGGGGAGGGGACGGGCCAGGGTGGGAGCGTGGGCGGCTTGGTGACGTGGGTGAAGAACCACTGAGCCAACACCAAACAAACACCCAAATTCAGCTGCTTCTTCACCCTCTTCTATCTCTTGGACACATCCCTGTGAAACAGTAGCTAATAGGGAAAAGTTAAAAAAAAATTTTTTTTTTTTTTTTTGGGAAAATCTTTTTGTCCAGTCCCTCTCTCAGGAATGCAAAGATTAGGCAACTCTTTCGGAAAGATATAATTACTCTGTAATATCTTATTGGAGTAATTCTTTTGAAGATATTCCTTGGAAGAAAGTGTGGTCCTTACCTAACAAATATCGAATCACTAAAGAGATATCTTTTAAGTTGCTACACCGATTTGACCCTGTCAGGCTTTATCTTAAAATATGTTTCCTGAGATGGATCCTCTCTGCTCCTTTTGTGGAAGATGAGTCTGACCGGCATCTTTTTTGGGAGTGTGTCCATGCAGCTTCCTTTTGGAAGAAATTTTGTATGCTTCTATCTTAGACCATTTTTCTTTGGTGTTTTGGTGGTTTAAGGAGGTCTTATTTGGTAACAAGAATCTAAAAGACAAGTATTTTCTAATAAATCTATTGATTTTCTTAGCTATGTTTTTTATACATAAATGCACATTTTTGTCTGTTAAACCTCTATATATTGTTTTTTTGTAAAGACTTGAAATGTTATTTGGATACTATCTGTAATTCCAGCAATGTCAAAGCCTTAAAATCCTATACATCGTGCACGAAGTATAATATGAATGCTTTTTTATAGTGTGCTATTGACTATGAGTTGAATGTATGAGAGAGGCAGGGATTTAGCAAAGTTTTTTTTTCTTCTTTCATCTCGAATTTAATTTATTTTAAATTCAGAAAAAAGCAATAATAATTAAAATGTAAAAAAAAAAACAGACAAATAAATTAGATGTGTATAATTTGATAAATATTTTGAAAATACCCGCATGAACACTAAATGAAAAGAATCTAAATCCTAAATATGAAATATTAATTTAATTAAATGATTAATAATGTAAACATTATATTTAATATAAATATTAAACATTAAAGTAAAATCTTGAGATAAACATTCTGAGAATTTGGAGATTGATTTCGATCTAAAGAGCTGTTTTGACTGAAGAGTGTATTCATTGATTATGTTTTGATTAACTGATTATGATTTGATTATATTGACTAATAAGATTATTTTATGGCATCAGAGAATGTTTTTAAAGGATTGCTGTCAAAACATTTGCTTTTAAAAGCATTTGAAGCATTTCCATCAATGGCCTGTAGATGGAAGTCTGTGCTTAGCCTATATAAAGGATGCATAGTTTTCTTAAAGGAGACATATTATGCCCCTTTTTACAATATGTAATATAAGTATCTGGTGTCCCCAGAATGTGTCTGTGAAGTTTCAGCTCAAAATACTCCACAGATCATTTATTATATCATTTTGAAAATACCTATTTTGAGTGGAGGTTTTTCAGGAGGTTGTCTCTTTAAATGCAAATGAGCTGCTGCTCCCCGCCCCCTTTTCTAGAATAGAGCTGTGCTATTACAGCTCAGACCTGCTAAAAAACATCTGTTTTGGTTCTGATTATCATGTTTATCGCACTGAAATCATGCGTTTTAAACCATATGAGTTTAAACTTCAGATATACTATTTTCTGAGAGCACACATCTGAAGCACGCGGACAGAAAGCGGCTGTCACAGCATGCGAGCACTAAACTAAGTTCTCTTTCAAACACAAGTTTACGTTAAAAACACACGAGTTACAAAAAACAGTGGGTTATGTCTGTGAAGGTAAACAGCTGGGAAATAAATCTCATGTTTATTTTAGATCCGTGTGGCAGCCAGTGTTGGGGGTACGTAATCAGATTACTTTTTTCAAGTAACTAGTAAAGTAACGCATTACTTTTTAATTTACAAGAGTATCTTTTTCTACTTTTAATATCTGAGTTACTTTTTCAAATAAGTAACGCAAGTTACTTTTTTTCTCCAGTTTATTGATTGGCAGCTCTCCTGTCCCCATGTTGAGAGAAATTAAATCAATAAATCCACTGCTTTCTTGTCTCCTCTGAGGCTGGGACTCTAAATAGTGTTCTGTGCTCGTCTGTGCAGCCAAAGACAGAACAGTTAGCATGTTTTGCTCAAACTTTCGTCATGGCATCAGAACTGGTACACCGTTGTCGCTTGCGAAAACACAATAATGGCGCCGTGGGTGGAAACTTACAGATTAAGGGGCGGTAATATTATAATGAGATCCCTTTGCCACGTCACCAAGGGAGCGAAATCAGACGCGCTCGTTTTCTCAGACGCTTGCAGAAAAAGGCTTCCCAAAACAAGATTACTGGGTTAATCTTTTTCACGTTTCCTTGGTTGGTAGATGCACCGGGAACCTGATTATAGCACTTAAAACCTGGAAAAGTCAGATTTTCATGATATGTCACCTTTAAACTTCATGATTATTAAACAACATGGCCTTGCCATATATGGTTTATCATCATCGTACCTTTCTGTAAGCATAATTAAAAATAACACCGAAGCACATACATCAACTTTCGCTTCATGACTCACAGGCAATAAATCTAAGTCTGGAGGCATTACTTCTTTAACCTCAAACGGAAGGCAGCAGTAGGAGGAGCACTTTAAAGGTTCATAGAACACCTCCTACACTTTGACAGAAGCTCAGAGCAGATGCTGAGAGAGTTTACATCCACCAAAATGAATCTCCATTGGACAAAGATGCTTACAGTTTTCATCCTGTTTGAAAATGCTATAGGCTGGAATTCTTCTTCAGGTCAGATATAAATCAGGATAGGTTTAGCCTCAACTCAAATTCATTGGTCACACTTTAGAGTATTATTTTTCTGAATTGCATCTCTCTTAAATCATTTCACCACAGATACTGTCAGTGTGCCAGACATTATTAATCTTCAGGCTTTGGACATGTGGAGACTGGAGATGGAGTGGATGATGAATCAGAATGAAGAACGGAGAAATCAAACCTATGAAATACAAGTTGGACGCACAACAAACATGGATATTGTCGACAGCGTACGCAAAACACATAATTCCTCAGCTCCTATCACGTTATCGCCTGATTTCTGAATTTTGCACTAACTGTTTACAGTCTTGTCCACAGATGAACATAAGCAGAGGATCACTGGAAGCAGTTCACACACTGGTTTGGACTTCACAGCTCCCGCTGAACTGTGTCGATCACTCTGTTAGAATAAGACTCATCTCTGAGGCTTCACCATCCAGCTCTTGGAGTTCATGGAAAACCATCTATGGTAGGATATTTAAAGTTCATTGCAAAAGCACGTGATCAAGAACGAAGATCTTCATAAAAATAGTGGGGTTTAAAAGTTTGGAAACATTATGCTTTTTAAATGTTTTTAATAAAGTCTCTTATACTCACCAAGGCTGCATTTATTTGATTAAAAAATACAGTAAAAAGAGTAATGTGAAATATTATTACAATTTGAAATACTTATTTTCTATTTGAATATATTTGAAATGTAATTATTCCTGTGATGCAAAGCTGAATTTGTCTTCAGTGTGACATGATCCTTCAGAAATCATTCTAATACGCTGATACGTGTATGTATGTATGTATGTATGTATGTATGTGTATGTACATGTATGTATGTGTGTGTGTGTGTTATATAATGTGATATATCATATGTGACCATGGACCACAAAACCAGTCTTAAGAGTTGATTTTTCAAAATTGAGATTTATACATCATCTGAAAGCTGAATAAATAAGCTTTCCATTGATGTATGATTTGTTAGGTCAATATTTGGCCGAGATACAACTATTTGAAAATCTGGAATCTGAGGGTGCAAAAAAATCTAAATATTGAGAAAAAAAATCACCTTTAAAGTTGTCCAAATGAAGTGCTTAGCAATGCATATTACTAATCAAAAATCAAGTTTTGATATATTTACGGTAGGAAATGTACAAAATATCTTCATGGAACATGATCTTAATATCCTAATGATTTTTGGCATGAAAGAAAAATCTATAATTTTGACCCATACAATGTGTTTTTGGCTATTGCTACAAATATCCCCCAGCGACTTAAGACCTTCCTCTTTTCACCCAACTGTCACTGATGAAAGTGCAATTCTGAGAGCATGTTGGCCCACCAGCCTCAGCAGCTAAACAACACCAGCTTGGGCCAGTAAACGACCACCAAACCATAGCTACAGCATAGAAAACATGCTTAAAAACATGTTAGCAATCGCATAAAAACACCCTGACAACCAACCACATGACAGTAGCACGGTGTTGATGATTTCTGCACATTCAAACACCATTGTTTAAATGTATGGAGTGGTTGGATATTTATTCATATTTACTCATTTTCTTGTAGGGGAGATGAACTTAGCCCACAATCAAATCAGGATGTTTCCAGATGACCAGGTGCTTCAGGAGGGATCCACGATGATGTTCTGCTGCATTTATCCCACAGAGACACACATCACCTCTATGTTCTTCAGCAACACTCCCTATAAAGTCATCAACATAAGCCCACGGGTCAAAGCCATTCGAGTGGAAAACATCAAAGCCACAAATTCATTCGGTGTCAACTTCTACTGCGATAGGAACAGTGATGTAGTATATAACTTTGTCACCTGTGAGTATTAAGAGTCCCATTGTCCAACACAATTCAAATGCGCCCATATAGGCTAAATATTTCTTACAGTATTATGATGAAGATGCTAGTTTTGAAGTTTTTTATTCATTAGTTATTTTTATTTTTGTATATATATATATATATATATATATATATATATATATATA